TGATAATGACGGCAATAAATAGAAATGACCTACTTCGTGTAATCATCAAATAGTTGGCGTTCAATGCCGGTCTTTCCGATTAAATTTTAAATCGTAATTTTAGCCATAAACATTTGAAAAACCTAAAACGCGTTCCGATACCCAAGGCGTCATCTTTGGTTAAGGTCTTTGAATTATAAAGAGAGTTTTAATAAAAATACTAAATTAATATTTGTAAGGTTGATAAAATATTAATATGAAATATAATTTTAAACGGAATAATAATGCCCATGTCTAATGTAATGATAAAAAAAACATATGATGTATGTTATAGAGATTTGGGGATGCAAAAAAAAGAAAAGTCGAAGGTGTGCAAGAAACATTATTGAAAAGAATATTAGGATTAGATAAATTTGGAACGAACATTAAAAAATATGGGTGAAAGCACCAGAAAGATCTTTCAAATTGGAAGAATAAATTAATAATATCACGAAAATACTGCCAATCATAAGGTATGGACAAGAACCAAGAACCAGATGGAGAGAATGCTGAGAAAAATTCCGGGAATGGGTTCCATCATAGTTAATAAAAATGTAAAATACAAGTAAGAAGCGATTCAAGAAGTAATACCATGGACAAATTGAAATAAAAAGAAAATTACGAGATCCAACTATTCCAAAGAATATTATAGATGGGTAGAAGAGAAACATTTCGAATTAATTTTGTATCTAGGAAGTTAGATAACTCAGGATGGAAGGAGCAATAGAGACATAAAACAAAGGATAGCGCAGATGAGTCGTCTTCAACAAAAAGAAGTTACTTCTATGTTCGCGAACGGTTTATTTAGAAATTCGAAAAAAATGCGGCACTATACGAGTGTGAAACATAGACGGGGGGTGCGGCGGAAAATAAGAGGTTAGAATCGTTCGAAGTGTGGTGTTATAGGCGACTGATGAGGATACCGTGGATAGAGAAGGTTAGAAATGAAGAGATATTAGAAAGAATAGGAGAACAGAGGAGTACATGGAAATCAATAAAAAATAGGCGACATAGATAGGTAGGACACCTTCTCAGGCATGGTAGACGTGGGATATTGACGATTACCTCAGGATAGGAAAATCTGGAGATGCTTGTGATAATGAATTTGGATAAATCTAAGTCCTAATTGTATCGAAATTTAGACGTGGAGGTATTGGATGAACGAAGCTGAATAACAATGTAGAGTATGTGAAAAAACAATAGAAACAGTGGAAGGACTGAAGTACATGGTAAGTCTGACGTCTGGAAAGGGGACAAAAAAGTTCATAAAGAGGATCATAAAGGATAATAAGCTTTGGGAACGAAATTTCTTATTGCTAATCAGCAAAAGCCAGCATTGTCAGATGAATTTGACCTTTTTTTCTAGTTATTTTCAAGTATTTAAAGTAATTTTCAAAGTGCAAGCAAACAACAAAAATTTATTTGACACAAAATCGCACAGGTTCTCATGTTCTACTGATTTTAATGGGCATACATTCATAATGAAACATTGTATCCTCATTTGTATTACGATGTAAGTACATTCACATTACTTATTTAAGGTACAAGTCAAGCCCTACCACTCGATTAATAGGGACAGTTTCGATAATGACAACCAATAAAAATCTTTATTAACAAGGCAATTCGAAACATGTAAGTCAGGATGGTGAAAATGGTTATCGCCTTCACTCACCATAATGGTCGCAAGTTCACTGTCATTTTATAAGTTTCCTCATAGATGGTAATGCAAAATAATATATTAATTATTTGTTAATTATCATTAAACAATTGTTATAATTATTTTAAAGAAATTACTTCGTAATATTGTCCAATGTTAGATTCTCTCATTATCCATTCACCATCACTGAATTGTTAAATAAATAATTTCAAATTAATTATGATTCAAATCGAATTTAAAATAAATCCATTCGCTTCGGAAAGATAACCAGTGAAATGTACAAGTGTACTTCATTTCTTTTCTGTAGCGATGTGCCCCTTTCAAAATTGTAGGTCAGGAGAAACAAGCTCATTATACTCTCGACTTTTGTTCATTAAACGTACTTTTCATACAGTACCTGCCAAAAGTTTTGTTCAATCATGAATAGTAGTGCGAGCCGAAAACAAGCGTTAAAGCGTTTAATATGTCTTCAAATATAAATAAACATCTCGTTGATAATTTCAGTAGCAATTGGTACCAATAACAGCACATTTGAACAATGCAATTTTAGTAGATAAAATGGTCAATTTTTCCGTGCAGTACTGTACGGATTATACGCTCCTCACCGGTTAAGAGTTTGGCCGAGAGTTGTCTCCTTCCTTTTCTGGCCTAGTGCTGTTTCTACTTTGCGCCAGTCAAACTGAAGGTAAACGAAGTATACCATCTAAAGTTTTTGTTCACTACAAGCGGATATTATTACACTTAGTGTAATGGTTTGTTGAATTGATGATATTAATATTTGATTGAAACTATTCAATTTGTTTGCTATATCAGCGTGCCCTCGAAATGTTCTCTTCTGTATAAGCGGGTACTATTAGATTTGCTACAGTAATTCGTTGAATTGATTGTTCGTAGGACACCTTCTCCAGGCATGAAGGGTTAGTTAAAGATATATTAGAAGCAAAAACAGGAATTAATAGGTCTAAATTAGATTATTTGAATTGATGATAGATGTAATTGATTGATTTAAGAGAGAACGACAACAAAATTTGTTTGTTATATCAAGTTAATGCCAAAAGCTTCTGTTTACAACAAGTAGAATCTGTTACGTTTGGTACAGTGATTTGTTGAATTGATAATATAAGTAATTGATTGATTGAGAAGATAACAATAAAATTTAAACTGTTAACTATTGGGATCCGTCAAATGGGCATACACCATCTGGTGGCAAAATTTATAACTCGAATGAGGGAAAAATTTACATAGGAACTGTGCACGCAAATTGTAAAATTGTTTATTAAAATAATAAAACACGTTAAAAAAGTAAAAATTTTTTTGATGATGGAGTCGACGAAGTTTTCTTCTAAAGTTAAATCAAATAAAAAGTTAATATGTTCAGTGAAAAGCTGCAATAGCACTTCAGACATAGATCTTCACTCTTCACCTACATTAACTACTTTCCAATAAAAACTAACCGTTTTATATATGTAAAAAATATATTCGGAAAATTAGAGAAAAAAGTAAACTAATAGAAGCTTGGATGAAAGCAGTAGGTATCAAAGAAGTGAATTCCGGAATAAAAATTTGTTCACGTCATTTTAATGCACATGATTATATTTCAGCAAGTATTTACCATCAGCCATAACCTTAATATTTAAAACTAGAATCATACTAAAATTATAAAGTGAGAAATTATTTATTCCTGTGTAATTGATTTAACACAATTCTAATGATACGATATAAGTATTTTGAGGTTAAGAACCTACCTGCTGCAATACAACAAAGTTGCAATAATGTGTTTGCAACGTTCTCTTAAATCGGCTTTGCACGTGCAAGTCATTGATATGATATTGCTTAAATCACCCAGAATCACCTCACCAATTATATAACGTGAATCACTTTTTAAATCCGAAGTTTGTAAAAAGTAGGCAGTAAACTTGACGGAATTTGAAGGCTAGCTTCCGGATTTGTTATTTCCGAATTTTATAATGTGATTGGCATTAAAAACACGCTCACCTTCAACGAAATTTCCTTTCTGAGGCTTTGTGTCAGCCCAATCACATATTGTGTCAATACTTATCATTTTATCGTAATTTAAAAACTTGGAAATTGCACGGTACACTATAGGAGCTACGATAAATTTTACCTAATCGGCGCCATGTTTTTAGGCTCCTCCCATTTGACGGATCCCAATACTTTTGTGTCGTTATTGCACTGTGTGAAAGTAGCCTTATAAAGAATGCTTAGTTGAACCAGTCCTTCGGACAATACCATTACTGGTGGCGCAAATCTGTTCCATCATAACATAAAAGTTTAGTGCATAGCACTTCACCGAAATCAATCAGGGAAACCTCTCTCATCATAACCTAACGACCAAACCTAAATCCATGGACCCTAGCACTTCACACACGTCAATCAGGGAAACCCTTCCCACCATAACGTAATTTGCATATGATTTATTATCTCCTAGTGCTTAGTACTTCAGAAAGTGCATTCATGGAATCTTTTCAAACCTAACCTAACCCAAATCTACGGTGCATAACACGTCACATATATCAATTTGGAAAACATTTGTCACCATAACGTAACCTAGTACATGTCTTGATGTATAGCGCTTCACACAAGTCGTTCAGGAAACCCTCTTCCACCCATAACCTACATAACTCAAACCGATAGCGTATAGCACATCAAATATGCTTATCAAAGAAACCTGTTCCACCATAATATAAAAACTTGGTGCATAGCACTTCACACAAATAAATCAATGAATCCTCTCCCATACCATAACCTAAGGACCAAACCTAAATTCATGGAGCCTAGAACTTCACACACGTCAATCAGGGAAACCCTTTCCACCATAACCTAATCTGCACAGGATTCATTATTGCCTGATGTATAGTACCCCACAATGGCAATTCAGGGAATCTTTTCCCACCATAACCTAACCTAACTCAAACGTACGGTCCATAGCACGTTATAAATGTCAATCAAGAAAACATTTGTCACCATAACGTAGGCTGGTACATATCTTTTATTATCCCTTGATGCACAGCACTTCCCACAAGTCGTTCAGGGAACCCTCCTCCACCCATTACCTACATCATAGAATCCTCTTTCGTCTTAATCTAATTTAAGCCCATGGTGTCGAGCACTTCGAACGTGTCAATTAGAAAAATCTTTCCCATAAAAAATCTAACCTGGTGAGTACCACTTATTATCCCCTGATACACATAACTTCGCACAAGACAGTACAGGGAAATATTTCTCAGCCATAACCTAACTCAAACCTATGGTGCAGAATAGGAAACCTTTTCCATCATAACACAAACCCTTGGTGTATAGCACTTCACACAAGTAAATCAAGGAACCCTCTCTGGGAAACATTGTATAAGTGTAATAAATAATTTAATAGTAAATATACTTACATGGTACGTAAATTGGGGCATAAAGAGCTTCTTTATTACTGACGGTAACGATATTTTGGCGTCAGACCACGCCTTGTTTCTTGGAACAAAATAGGTGAACTTCTTGTCGGTTTTGTTGAGCTGACTGTTAAATCCTTGGCGACTCCCTAAGAAGAACGTATCACTAAAACAGAAAAAGAGAAATTTTAATACTTATACTAATTAATAAAAAGGAACAAAAATGTTATACATTTAAGTAAATCACTTCACTATCAAAATTGCCTTACACTTTAATAAAAAACGAGTGCTCGCATTGTTTTTTTCATAAACACATTACCGAAGATTTTCTATAAATTCCTCAGGGCTAAAGGGAGCTTTTTATTGGATATTATTAGGAGATATACAAGGATACGTAATAATAAAAGTTTTATTTTTTCTCATCAGAATTAATAACGTCGAAATATTTGAAAAATGTACATATTGCGGAAATACATATCTTAGGTTTTTCAAACTACACATTTTTTCATTATACCCCAAAAAGTTTGAAATTTTTGAGGCTTCTCATATTGTGTTAATGAAGAAGTATTAGAGAAATATTCGCGGATTAAAAACATCTAAAATAAAATGTTCATGATGAGTGATTCTTGACGATTTTAGAAAATGATTTTTAATATTTAGCGACTATTTTGTTTCATTGCCAATTCTTAACAGGTTCACCAAATTTTACAGGTGTGTCTCGAATAATTACTGCCATACTACTTTTTTGCAAAAGCATTTTTTTAAACAGTGTAACATTCTGACCTCAATGGTATACGAATAGGTCGGTTATTTTTGGAAGTGTTTGCGCCATGCTGATAAACTCCAAAGACATCGAAATCTAGAGTCACGTTTGACGCTTTTCACAGAAAAAAAAACTTTTCGGTGTTTCATCCCACCAGCTAGTAATGCTGAACGGGGATCGATGTTCTAATCGCGGGATGTCGACTCGTTAACAAAAAGACTCTACCCTTACGAGGATGACCTGTAAGAAACCCTAAGTATTCGTGGCACTACCTCTTGGTCGGGATGCATGCGAAGCTCCTATCAAAGTAAATAATTTTGTTAACTTTTACGTTGTATAGATCTGCTTTGAGAGGAAGATCCTATCTAAATTACTTGACAACTAATTCAAAATCCACTTCTAATTTGTGTCCTTTTGAATTTCATATTTATTTTATTTTACTATATAATAAAATTGTTAATGTTTTCCAATCTCGTCTATCTTATAATTTTAATGCCTTACGCCTAGTCACGACAAAATAATAAAAACA